GCAGATTTATTTTTACGGTTAATCTCAATTTATTATCCTGAAGTTTATTGGTTTTTAACATTTCATACATCATGTTTTTTTCGTCCCAATTTAATACCTAAAGTCATAATTTTGGAACACTTTTATACATTCGTTAAGGTTTCCGTCAGAACTTCTGTTAACAGATGACATGGCACCCACCTGGACAATGACTTAGCGCCGCGTGTTAATATGGGCCCACGTGAAAATTAAAAAAATAATAATAATAAAAAATTTGAAAAAGAAAAAAAACTCAAACCCTATTGCCTTCCTCACCACCATCGCCCAAATCCAAGCGCCTCCTCCTCCTCACCTGGCCCGGGTCTCACCCCTCCCTCCCCAGTGCTCATTCCTCCTCAACTTCCACCTCGACTCCATCTCCGCTGAGCCCGACAAGTGGACCTATTCCTCGACCTCTTCATCTTCTTCGTTGATCAACGGTCGGATGATTCCACGCTCTTGCCCTCAACCTCCTCGTTCTACAACTCGGGAGGTGGACTTGGATCTCGATCCATGATGCCAAGTCATGGCCGCTTCGATTCAATGCAGTACGGTTCGGGGGTTACAATGCTCACTCGCGGATCAGGTTCTAAATTCTTGGCACTAAGAAAAAATTAGAAAAAAATCTTTTTTTCTCCATCTGGAGATTGAGAAAAACCCTCATTTTTTTCTCCCTTTTGTGATTTTCTCTTCTGGTATTGAAAATTGTTGAATTTTCCAACTGGGTTTTGGAGAAAAACCATTTTTTTTGTCCATCTACTTCATTGATGCTTCCTCCTTTGAAGTTCTTTTTCCTTTAATTCCTTGTACTCTTTGTTTTCCTAAAAAATAAAAATTACAAAATTTGTTTTCCTAAAAATCACAATAATGGTAGTGGCAGTCCTCTGTCTCTGATAATTGGAAGGTAAAAGTTTCCTTTATTTTATTCTATTTTAGCATATAAAATTCGGGTTCTTGATGTCTGGAGTTTTGGGTCTTCTGGTTTGCGGGATATGCAATTTGGGTGAACTAAGGATACCGAAAACTCGTTTTCCATTAGTTAAATAAAAGTGTCTTGTTTTGATTTATCATTGCAGTCTTTGCATTAAACATCCAAATTTATTTAGGGGAAGTGAGAAGCTTGATGTGTTCATGTGTTTAAGGGTCGTTTTGGCAGTACTGTCCTTTAAAAAAAACTGCTTCTGTGTTGTGAGAATAAGCAGTTGTGAAATAAAGCAGTAGAATGTTTAGTAAATTTTTTTGTAAAAGGGCTTTTGGAAAAAAAAAAAAAAAAAACATTATGATAGTGTTCGGTAAATTTTTATCTAAAACAGATGTGATTGTGTGAAATGATCAAAAATGATATAATACCATATTATTATTATGATATTTTATTTAATATTACTATTTTTATGTAAGAATTTTGTGTGGGGGGGGCCCACACCCCATTTCCCTTATCCCCGTGTAGCTTTCCCTCCCCCAATTATATTCTTCCCCTCCTTGCACCGAGTTTGATACTCATTTTCCCCATTCCCAAATTTCATTTTTCATTCTTGCCCATCTCTTTTCTCCGTCTGTTTCTAATCTCTCTTTCCAACCACCCATATGTTTCTCATCTCTTTCTCTAACCACACAGCCACCATAGCAGTGGATCCACCACCACGCAAGTTTAATTCCAGATGCCAGAGTGTCGTTTTAATGTCATATGTAGCACCGAATGGGTATTAGATCCGGTGTTCGCCAACAACAACCCATTCTTCAACAACTCCGGCAACTGTGGTTAATTTGTGATGATAGCAGTCTAGGGCTCTCCTCATGGCGACTCTTGTGGGTCTCTGGTGGTGACAATTCAGATCTTCACGAGAAGGGATGAGGTAGATTCACAGTGGGGGCGACACAAATCTTCAAAGATCTTTGGTAGAGATGAAGTTGGGAGGAGCAGAAAGAGGATGATAGAGATGAAGGGAGGGTAGGATTGCCAGAAACTTTCATTAAAGGGTCACTGTTCATCCGTGTTTTAGAGGTTTGCGCAAAAGCTGCGTGACAGCTTTAAGCTTTTTCATCTGGGTTTGAAATTTTTACCTCTGATGCGATTGGGGGTGTCCAAAATGGCGAATCTTGTCTATGAACGCGGATGTGTGGGTTAGGGTTCGTGTGGGTTAACCTAGGGAGAGAGAAGTGAGGGGAGGTGAAGAAGGTAGAGGAGAGGGAGGAGGTGGGTCGGGGAGTCGAAGAGGGAGGGGGAAGTTTGGGATTTTTTTTATTATTATTATTTTATTAATTTTTAATTTTTTAGTATTCACGGACCTATATTGACACGTGGCGTTTAGTTATTTTTCACATGGGCGTCACATCCTTAATTAATAGAGATTTTGACGAAAAACTAAACAAAAGTACGAAAGTGTTTCAAAATTATGATTTTAGGTATCAAAATGAAATGAAAAAAACATAATATATAAAAAATTAAAAATCAAGAAATGTCAAGGTAATAAATTGAGATTAACTCTTATTTTTATATCAATTTGGTTGTTCAACTCCGGACTTGACACAAGCGCAATATAATTATAAACGGATAACTTGAATACAAGACGGATATGAATGGGTAAATATCCACGTAAGGCCCCAAACATTATGGTCGAGTCCAGTTGATGCTGAGTCACTGTTTCTAGATGGGCCTCTCAACCAACCTCCGAAGTGTGACTATATCCAACGGCCCACATTTGAAGCCCATCTCACATATTGTGTCTTAGTGTGGGCCCAATCCTATCTGCCCTCTGGAAAAGGTGCAGAGATAAATAGAAAAATTAGAAGGTCGAGAAGTCTCTTCACACCAATCACCAAAGTCGTCATCCACGGCTGCCCCATCTGCTCTGCCTCTCTACAACTTGTTCTCCCCCCTCAGCAGTCCTTCTCTTAGACCATCTCCAACCCTGACCTATAACCTAAATTTTTCCCTTTTTTTTTCCCCAAATCCACTCCAACCCAAAACCTAAACCAAACCTAAAACCTAAAACTTAAAATGAAGGCAAATATAGGTCACAAATTTAGCCCACAAAAGCTGCTGGGACCCACGGATGAGAGTGAAAAGTGGGCCTTGTCCTGTAGCCAACGACTACTTTTCTTCATCGGGTGGTGGTAATTGGACCGTTGGTTAATCCAACGGTCCACATTCAATTTTTGTTTGTTTTATATTTATATATTTATTGAATCCAACGGTTTAAATCGAATATAATCAATCTAACGGTAAAAAAAAAGATCTAACGGTCCAAATTTAAATCCAATGGCTAGAATAATCTTAAAATTTATGTGGTTTATTAATTGTCTTTTTTTTTTAAGTTTATGTGGTTTATCATGATTTTCATGTATTGATTTAGTGATTTTTCAAAATTTATCGGAATTTAAATATTTTTAGGTTAAAATGTTCATAAAATTAATTTAGGATAGTCTACATAATTGTTTTTTTTTTTTAAAAGTTAATTTAAAAAAAATAGCCTTAATTCATTTTTGATAATCTGGGGCTCAAATTTTAGGCCAAAATGGTTGGAGTAGAAAAGCTGTTTCTGGGTTAAAACCTAAATTTTCTGGGCTAAATATTTTTAGGTTTTAGGTCAGGGTTGGAGATGGTCTTAGGGTCGATTTCCGACGACCAGAGGTGCGACCGCACCTGCTTGTGTCTAGTAGCCTTGCTAGTGAATGCAGACTAGCCAAGTCTGCTATGCACAACATTGTTTCTCAAGACATTCAGTTTTATTCATTCATTGTAGAAAATTACGGATGAGGATCTTCTTTTTGAGCAGATCTTACAGATCTTCACATCTTATCCGTCCATCATACATCGTGAAAAAAATATTTATTAGAAATTATTTGCGTTTAATTTTAAATAAATAAAAATTCAAAATGATTTCGACTGTACAATTTACGACGAATGGATAAGATGTGAAATCTCTATATCTCTTCAACCTTCCCGAATGAAAGTGTCCTCTTGACAACAATGGAAACAGACCCGCAAATGAAGTACCCGTGAAACAAATTTTCTAACCGAATCACTGAATACTAAGTAGCGTCGAGAGCACCTACAACAGATTGTACTAGTGTGACTCTTTAAATAAATATTTGATGACCTACGTTTCAACAAATTTTACAAATATTTTATTTCACTAATAAACAAAATTCTAATATTTATTCATTCAGCGGAGGGAAGAGGGACATTTTAAAGAAGTTGTGATGCACATGGAGGGGAGAGAGATTTTACTCTGGATAATACTTGCATTTTTTTTGGGGTCAACTCATTCCACTGCTTAACATATATTCATCGAAAAAATTTCATAATTTAAATTATTCAATCTCTTAATGTTCATTTGAAGATTATCGGTACAAAAAAATCATTAGAATCGGAAACCGTTTAGTCATTTAAATGTATCAAAATAAACCAACGATGTAGGTAACTAAAATAATCATGATGAACCGTTAGTCTATTTGATTACGTTTGAATGATTAAACGATCCTTAATTGATTTGGATATAAGTGAATTGATGCAAGATGCTCCATTCACTTCAATGACTTCATCTTATCATCTAAAACTTAAAAGAGACTCTAGAAAAACAACTTTTTTGTATATACCATATAAACACTTTAATCAAATAGGTTTTCGGGCATGTTTGGAAATGTTTAACTGGAAAGAATTATTCTCATCTCATAAGTGATTATACTAGAAGTACGTCGAAACTTACTTAGAAAACTCTTCCAAATGCTTTTCAAATCTTCTTGACAATCAAGAGCTTACGACTACATTTGATAGAAAATGTCAAAAGTTCTTATGGAAGAGCACTTGCTAGCGAAGAACACATTTGTGTTTCTTTTTCTTCAAGAAGAAACACTTCAAAGTGACTTTCTAGAAAAAGTACTTTGTATATGTAATAAGGATGACATATAAAGAGGAGAGGAAACAATCCACCACTTATTTAAGGATGACATATAAACACAAATCAACAAAAGCATGCAAGAGATATAACCATTGGCATACAATTTGTGACAAGCCCTTGTTCTTCACTTATTGCCCATATTTGTGAATGAAGAAAATATCACTGTGAAAATAAGAAAAATCCAAAATATTCAAATGATAACACAAATAACTATTTAAGTTGTAAGATTGTGAATCTATGCACCACATATTTTGCTGCGACGAAAAGTTTATGTGATTCAATACACCTTTCTTCCCCCATATTGATCCCGATCTCTTATTGCGTAAGCCAAGAAAGCCACAAATGGGTTTTTCAAACCAGGCATGAATTTTCTGAACCATGGTTATGAGAGATTGATACATAGGAAATTGAAGCAGGGCAAAAAAAGGGACTGGAAAAAAGGCAATAGGGTAAAGTAAAGACTCGGTCCATTTCTTCTTGACCCGAATCAAGAGCAAAATGGTGGCAGCAAAGGCGAGCATGGTGGTTGCCATGGAGAAGAAGAGCAAGATGAATCCTGTCATGATCTTGGTAGGAATGCTGCTAACGAAATGTGGGTACTCGAGAGGGGAGGAGAGGACAGAGAGAAAGAATGCCACTGAAGATAGTGAGCATGTAATGGACACAACGTCCATGCAGGTGAAGAGCAAAAAGAGAGGATTATCCTGGAAAATAGGACGGCCACTTTCGTCGTTAAAACCCCCAGGAATGGCATAGGCGGCTGCAAAGACCACAGTGGCCACTAGCACCGCCACGGTTGAGCATGATTGAGCCGTTTCTTTTACCCATTTTTGTGCGGACTTCAAAAGCTTTTCATGCTCAACGTTGAAAAACTCCTCCGCTGTCTGGTTGTTGTTGTTGTGGTGCATGATGTAATGAGGCGGTACTATCTCTTTTATACGCTGACACAAACACCCGTACACAATTATCATGTCAACGTATAGATTTTGTAATAGAAGTATTTGTCTGACAACATAAGTATTTTATAAGGCCGATAGACTAAACCAGTAATACAAATATTTTTGTAACGACATAAGTTTAGCAAAAGAACATTACCAGCATCCAGCGCAGCTCTTCTTGCAATTGCATGGCAGGGCCTATTAATTTCTGAGACACTGCTATAGAGTAGTAAGTTCTATCTGCAGCCTGGTGCAATATGGTGTTTCCATTGAGATCTATCCTCTCATTCAGCTTCGACATCAGAGTTGGTTTGCTTTTGATAAGATCAAGGATCTTTTCCTTACGGTTCTTAATGGCCAGATGCAAAATGTTGCGTTCGTAAAGGTTAACATGCTCGACTGCTTGAGGACGCTGCTCAAGTATCTCTCGCACAATGGGTACAATTCCTTTGATAGTTGCTATAAGCAATGGGGAAGAGTTGTAAACTTCATTCCTCGCCTCCTTTCTCGATTCGATTTCTTCTGCGGCTGGTTTTCCTTTTTTGCCTCCATCATCACCATCTTTATTAGGTTCAGGTTTTTCCCCTGATCCCAGATTAATGGTCCTGATCTCTACTTCCCATTCCTTGTCAGTAGTCAACCAAGAATAGTCCTCCCTCTTGACGAGCAATCGGATGAGTTCATTTAGTGATTTTTTATTTTTCTTGGTCTTCCATATCCTATAGATTATCCTGTCCTGCGTGCCTACTGTTCTTAACGTGTCATATATAAGGAGATGTTAATGATATTCTAAATAAAATTATCATGCACTCTTCAGCTTCTCTTGTAAAATGATCATAAGGAATAAGTAAATAATGTTTCTTTTTAAGAGTTCCAGTAATAAGAGATTCGCCTTGATGAAAATAAACATACCTTTAGCAAGGGAGTCCCATAGTGAATAGTAAGCCTTCATGACAACTGCCAAAATTTAATGCATGCAACTTCGTTAGGAACATTGAAAAAAAATCCAATTGAAGAAACGCTTTATCTAGGTAGCCGTTTAATTATTAATCTATTAATTAGATTACAAATTTGATTACCTGCAAGATTGTTCCGAAAGATGGATTGACGGGGATGGTTACTATCCATGCTGCTCTCCACATCATCCTTCTGATTTGGTGCGACCACATCTCCTCCAACAGGGAGGCCTGCATATATAACAACATTAAGTATGAGATTACTGCTTCATTAAAAAAGAAAACATGATTGCACCTGTGTATATATAGCATGCGTACGTGAGCACACATATGGCAGTTTGCAGAGTAATGGTACGTACATTTATAAATTAGCATCTTCCATTTGCTTTGTTCAAACTGGTGCTCAAAGGCAGTTGGCATTTGGGCTAGCAACTGAAGGCTTGTCAATCCTTTATCTTCCTTTAGTAGCGCTAAATATGGGTATTTCTCCAGTAACCAAAGAGCAGTCTCTGCATTGTGGAAGACCAAAGAGAAAAAGTTATTAATCTTCATTGCAAATAATTGTGTTCATTTTCTCAGAGAGATAGAGAGAGAGAGGGGGGGGAGAGAGAGAGAGAGAGAAAGAGAGAGACCGAAATGTTCCACAATGACTGTGATATGAAGAAGGGACATTTTGTCATCTCTGTGGAAGTGCCTCCAAAGATTTTCCTCCGGCAGTTTGCCGGCATAAAACTTGACCAAGTCAGTGTGACCGAGAGCAGCCGCCCTGAAGAGCGGAGTTTCTCCTAAATAGTTCCGAGTCTCCAGCAGCTGCAGCGCATAGTTCTCTGAATCTCGAGCCTTCCACCGCTTGTCTTTATCAGTACTACTAGTACTGATCTTGACCTCTTCCGGAAGTGGCTCGTTGAAGTTATTCACCAAGTACTGCCGCTTCCTTATTGCCGGACACACTCACCTCATGGAGAGTATTGTTTCCGTACTTATTCGGAACCCTCAGAGCTTTTATCTTGTCATTAGTTGAATTGAGTTTACTGATAACCATTTGGAGAACTTCTCTAGCTTGTGGATATTTGCTGCTGAGAGAAGCCGCAAGGTGAAATACAGTGTCCCCGTCCACTGTCATTTTATAGAGCAGTTTTTCCCGATTCTTCTCCAAGTCTTCCTTCAGCCTTTCACATTCCCCATTCATGGCATATTTATAGGAATCGTTCAACTCTTCCATTTTCTTTAATCTATCCTCTCTCTCTTTCTGATCCAACCGAGAGCTATCCTCTCTCTCTTTCTGATCCGGCAAAGAGCTATCCACTCTCTCTTTCATCAGATCCGGCCGAACCGTTAGCGTTTTCCAGTACTCCATTTGTAGTGTACTAATAGCTTGGGGCATGCGGTTGTTGCTTTGATTTATATGTAAGAATAAACTCTAACAGTTCATCAATCTAAAGAACATGGATACAAGCATAACTAAGCCAACTAGACTACTGTAGTTCTGGGAATCTTCAAGCTCATCGTTGCCATGTTCTAACTGAACAAAAGCAACTATCTTCAAGCCCTTAAATAGTACACTCCCACTTATCTAGGCCATACTTAACACAACCAAGTTAAGTACAAGTTAATAGCAACTATATTAACTAAAAATCATTCCAATACAATGAATGACTAATCAGAATCCATATGGAAACCAAATTTGTTTCCTTTTGAATGCTAACATCATAGGATCCTTCTCATTACTTAAACAAATTAAGTAACACAAATAATTCAACCAATTGCTTCAATAAAACCATAAACTGGTTTTTAAGCATCCAAATGAATTATTATGGTCGGCCTAAATACTCTTAGCCTTATGCTTACATTCGAACATATGATTCTCCCACTTAAGCATAAGTAGAATGTACTGCACAACCGATAAAGAAACCGGAGATATGAACCAATTGGTTCCCGATTCCTCCCCAATTGCATAATCTCAGTTTAGTCATAAATACCTAAACCATTATGCAAACAGTCTATGTATCAAAAGATAGTCACAATCCATTTGGAAAAACTTATCTCACATAAACCCAAAATCACCAGTTTCAACAATGATCAAAATCAGAATAGCAAACACAATATTTTTGCATTCAATTTGATCCTAACTAGTTCAATATCCATCGAGCAAAATCAACCAAATTTGATAATGCCTAGATATATATCACAACAATATGTCTTGATTAAAACGAGATAATCAAGACCACTATTTCTTCCTCCCTATTTGTGATTTCAACCAAAACATAATAGCGGAAACATGCATCATAAATGAAATCACAAATATACATATACAATAAGCATGCATCTTAAACTCCATGATTTTCACAATACAATAAGCACAGGCTTCCTTATGAATTCATAAGTTAAATCAATATGCATTCGGCAATGTCAATTTGTGTTGTACAAAAAATATAGACAACGTCTCACATAAGCTAATTTGTTTATCATCCTTGTATATGGATGACACAAGCTAATTCTCAAAATTCATAGCTTGACCTATATAATCATACAAGTAAATTTTTAAGGCTAAGATCAATTATCGCCACAAAATGTAATTTGAGTCAACTAATGAAAATAAGATCATTACAAAATAAAACCCAAATTCAATGTACATATTCAATTAGCAAGAAATTCCCTACATGATACTCGAACCAAAAATAATGCATTTAGTTTATGTATCATAAATAGGAACAATGTCATCCAAATTCCATTAGTTTAATATTTAGAACCACTTAGTCATTAAGCATATATACTTGCCAACATTCATTTAGACAAAACCAATTTATGGAGTACTCGTGCAGTCAAAATGATTCCATCCCAATTGATATTCATCATATGTCCCCAACCAAACAAACAAAAGAGAACAATAGGTGTTGTATATGAACAAGTTTTATCCTCCACCAAGACTAATTTAATCAGAACCATAGTCTCTTTAATGAAAAATAAAGAGTATACATAGACTAAATGTTACACTAACTTGTTTATGCAACAAAAAATGATTTCAGACATCCCACATAAATCACAAGTTGGCATCCATAGGGATTTCGAGTTTAATCATGCCCTCACAGTATACAATTATACAGGCATACTCGAAATAGCAAAAGCCCTAATTCATCATGCTCAAACTCATCACACTATAATCATGCATATAAGAGAACAATTAATCATGCATGATACAATGAACTAAGTTACCTGAATGCATCATTGGATCCATATTTGTCAACCCGATTGCAATTCCTCGGCTCCAAATAAATGAAACAAATTATCCATCAATGCTCGAGACCCAACCATGTGGATTGCCATCACTCCAAATTCCCATGGACCTCGTACCATTGTAGATTGTCGAAGTGAATTGCCATTATTATAGACGCGCCAATCCAAAATCATCGCCAAAGTTATCAGCCAGAATCTCGTTGGCACCAATTCCTGGAAAAAGACAATTCTCATTCAGATTTCAATAAAACAAGAGAAATAATAGAACAATGAATGAGTTAACGTCAATATGAAGGGCCATAATGATAATATAATCTCAATATGCAGGTAACATGATCGTTGTTCAATGGTTCCGCAGAATTGATTAATGAAATCAAAACTATGAACCCTTTTAAAGATCCCTGATTTCCATCTTTTTCACCACTAAAATTTTAGCCCATTGAATCAATTTAGTTATATACATATCCTTGAATTTAAGGATATACATAGAGTAAACAATTGCAATGATATCCACAAACAACATTAATTGTTCTAACTGCAATACTATTTGTGTCATACTTATGCAGAATTGGTTAGCACCAATTGTACAACATAAAACAATAAGACAAAACTTATTTGGTTTTTTTTTTTTTTTTGGTCAATTAAACAAAACTTATTTGGTTGATTTCTCATTAGTTATACCAGCGGAAGCAATTTGTAACAATCTATGCAACCATTCAACTCAAAACTGCATCGGCATCCAAGGTAATCAGAAAAATACATAACAGTTTCAAGTTTTCCTTTTAGCATGACAGTATGCAAAACAAATTTAAAAATTGAAACCTCGGGTGCGAATTAGATCATAATTCATACCTTTTGATGAATCGTATGAATCATGGCATCAATATTGACTCAAAATTAAGATTTGAATGAGTGATGAAAACCCAGACTTCGAAGAACACCATCGAAAGCGTAAAACCCAGATTTTGCAATCAGTGAATTTTTTTTTTTTTTTTTTAAGTATTATACAAAAAAAAAAAAAAAAACACGACACCGTTTCACTATTCCTTTTCCAACGACTCTTTTATAAACAAAACGACATCGTTTTGAGTTCATATATTTCTTAAGAGTCCTAAGGCTTAGTTCGAAAACCCAGACAGTGCAACTCGTTCCCAGATTCAATGGTTTTCATGAAGAATTGAACTTAATGGTTAGAATCCTAGGCTCTGATACCACATGTCGAAGAATAAACTCTAACAGTTCATCAATCTAAAGAACATGGATACAACCAATTAAATCACAACTCCACTAAACCAATAGATGAACAAAAAACACGAGAAAAGCTCGAGAACTTACCTGCAGAATTGGAACCAGATGAAGAAGCCATTGCGACTTCACAGCTTACTGCCTTCTCCTCTTTTACAAATCTCAATGGTTCTTCCAGACAATAGGACTTGGAACTCTATATAACCGTATATTGCAAGAGCAGTGGCATAAGCTTTTATAGCACTCCTTTTGTCATTCCCTATTAGAATAGACTTAGGATTCAAACATCACAATTGATACAACATATCAATCCCAAACATGTTCTATTACCGAGTTCTAATCCCACAAGGATTATTCAGAATCTCACAAAACTTATTCCACAAGGAAACCAAATAAGTTAAGGCTTTTGACCAAGACTTTTCCATATCAATCTTAAACACAAGAACTGATTCCTTCCATAACTCATACTCATAAACTTACATTATAGGCTAGCTGCTGCTGCTGTATGCTTTACTTAATTAAGTAACAAAGAATATTAAATGATAAAGCATAAAGGATCGGAATTAAGGTTACTTGCTGTTTTTAAGCTGTACGTGCTTTATCCGTACAAGCATCTTACTTTGCTTATTTTATTAGGTTTCAATTATGGATAACATTAAGGAGATCAAATTTTGTAGCTTAATTTTGTAAACTAAATTGTAATTGTTGATAATTTGATTATAGATAACGTTAAGAAGATCAAATTTTTAAAGCAAAATAGCAAATTAAATAATGTATCACAAATAAAAAATAAACACTTAAATAATAATCCGATCATTAACATCGACATTATTTGATTACAAAATTTAGCTTATAAACTTGATCTTTGGAGCATTACAAAATTTAGATAATGCTACTGCTGCTGCTATACGCTTTATTGAATTACGTAACAAAGAATGTTGAATAATAAAGCATAAAAGCATCGAAGAGTCAAGGTTACTAGCTTTGCGGCGTGTAATGTCAATGTGCTGGTTTTCTCTAATATATCAAGGTTATAGGCCCGGCTAGCTGCTGCTACTGCTGCTTCTACGTACTTAATATACCAAAATGATCCTAGAAATTTGTGAATAGTGTTCGTTTATCGTATATTGTATGGTTAATTTTTATCAGTTACCGTTTGTATTTCATTTTAAATAAAAATATTTAAAATATTTTTTTAATGCACAATGTACGATGAATGGACACGATTCACGAATTCTCGGGATTCTCATAAAGAGGATCCGGCGAGAATCCGGA